CCACAATTATAGGGTATTTTTCACAATTATGCTTTCAAATGTAAAAATTAAGACTTTTTGGTGAAGTTCACTATACCAAGACAATAGCTGCCGTTATTGGCATTTTTTCTTTTATGGCGATCCTCTGGCTACTTTAGCTTAGCTAATGCAGTATTCTACCACCTTCATTAAGATAGCCATCCACCATTTAAATGTACAAACTCTTCCTAAACAAGAAGTATTGAATTGAGTATGACACCCCATCAGAGATATTCTGACATGACTTTACACTGTTTGCTAGTTTTATCAGCACTATAACAACTCCCTGGTTTTATAAAACCCACATTCTATCTATTAACAACTGAAAAATGGTATTTAACATTTCCAGATCAGAAACAGAAAGAGGACTCTCTAGAAAACATATCATCGAGGGGTTAACAGCCTCTCTACAGCGGTTACAGCTTAACTACGTGGATGTGGTGCTTGCAAATCGTCCCGATCAAAATACACCAATGGAAGGTAAAACGAAGTGTTGAAATGTCCATTTATTATAATATGAACACTAACTGGGGTACAATACAATGTTTATAATAATAACTATTATAACAAAAATGAACTAAAAATTGGTTGAAGAATAAATTAAGCACAAACTATATGCAGACTCATCATGAGTTGCATCACATAACCCGGCATAATACATGCCAGCAATTTAATATGATGTTTAATTGAATATCCTTTTCCAAAACCTGTCGCAAAACTCTTGTTATTAATATCGTATATTTATCCATATCAATTTATTCCCTGCTATCTTCCCTTTTGCGTCTACATATTTTTATTCGTTAGTTCCACATGGGTGAATTTTACACCTAAGGATGATCTTTTACACGTTTGCTAACACGTATACTCGTCAAGACACTTTACATGCATTAACTATTGATGAGAAATGTTTTGTGTTTAAGAATATATATGTTTGTCTGTATTGTTGATGCATTCATTCTATACGTTTATTTGTAACTTGCACTAAAATCCATATAATTCATGTACCTTCAAGGCTAATTGATATCTTGTACTTTGAGGGCTCCCTTCCGCCATCAAGAATTCGCATTGCTTGTGGTGGCCATTAACAGCCATTTCCTCAATCACCATTAGTCTCTAAGCTCGCAGATCAATACATGATAATTTCTAGGAGAAAATACTTAGTTTATTTTTGTCACCATCCTTCCATATATTTAAGGTCAACCTTA